ATGTCAATATTATTACTCTATAAAGGATTTATTACGAGGCAATTTTTAACTTTCACGAGATGTGTAAAGAAAAGACCCCACATTCTTTTCTTCGTTATATTGAAAAGAAATAATGCTATCTATCGTCAGTGATTATCATCATGCATCAGTATAAATGGCACTGGACTCATTGAGTGCACTAAACAATGAATAATGGCTTACTGTCACCTAGATTAACCGAGCCCAGCCATAGGCCAAAGCCACCTAGGCAATGGCTAGGGCCTCAAATTAAAAAAAGACTTGTATCATTAAATTTAACCCTCCATATCAGCAAGAAATTATCTACTTAATTCAGCTAAATTGCACAGCAATTTTTCAGTAGAACTAATTTTGCAAGAACCAATTTGAGGCAGATTTTGCTAGTTTTGAAGCTACCCAGAAAAGAAGGGGTAATGATTTTTGTCTTGTAATTTGTCTTTAGTGCGAATCTTATTTCGGATGGTGTGGATATTACAAATATGAGTAGATTATCAAATGATGAATTTAAAGAATTGGGTCATAATATCCTCTGAAACTATAGAATCCCAAGATTTAGAAGAGAAAATTGATAGGGATGATGGGGTAAACACTAATGGGCAAGAACTTATTTCGAAAAAAATGGCGTAAGACTAGGATTGAGGAGAATAGCGAGAGAGGTTGTGATATTACAAAAGGGAGATGGGTTTTTATGCAAGCCGTCCCTTGTATACGAACATCCATTGTCCGTCTGTAGTGAAGGTTTTTATAGTTTGGCCAAGGGAAGAATTGACAAAACTTCCATTTAATGGAGGCTTAGTATAAAATGACATTTTTCTTGATTTTAGGCAAGAATCTTCACGCAGTGATCAGCTCCAGAAATTGATGCTGATTGTGAGAAATCTGTGGTGGTTCCTTGAGCTAGCTGATCTGATAGATTTGTGTTAATGGCCTCTAGATTGATGACATTCCTAAGTAAGCCCTCAACTTTGAACTCGTATGTTACCTCATTTTTATCGTGAATTGTTGTTGTTTTTGTAAGAAAATGTTAAATGATAGAGTTAGTCTACATGTACAGACATTTAAGTGTACAGATGTTGTACAGAATACACACATCAAGGGGGGTGGGTGATTTTTTTGGCAATAAAATAGTCAGGTGGGGTCCACCGTTTGTGAAACTCTGTACATATTCTGTAAACTTAAAATTCTGTACACTCCGAATTTTTGTAAATGATTATGCTTTCATGGTTATAGCCTATAGGTTTAATTCAATCAAAATGCTTGAATTAATTAGAGGAAAGAGGCTAGTTTTCGTTGGTGATTCACCAATGAATCTGTGTAAATAAGCTAGGAAGTGATTCGGGATATAGTGAATTAAAAAGGGGTTGAAAATACTTAATTTTAGTAGTTTGATTTTGCATCTTAAATACATGAGAGTGTAAAATATTATGAAAAAATAATCTCTCGGGTTCCAAGATATATTTTCAGATTGTATAGACTTCATTTAAATATAAATATATTATTCATTAAATATTTAACTATTGCTACGCTTGTAAAAATAAAAAATAAAAAAAAATTAAGTATCTCATAATAATTACTCGTCTAGGCCCCAAAATTATATTTGTCTTGAGGTTATCAATAATCATTACAAGCGATAGATAGTATAACTCTTTAAAAAAAAAAAAAAGAATGGTCAACTATTATAAATCTATGTATTGTAGATATAGTAAAACAACCTATCAAACTTCATACCAGCAGCGCCCGTCTTGTTTAATTTTTTTTTTTTTAAATCAATACTTTAAATAAAAAATTCTAAGAAATTTTATTAGTTCTAATAGAAAATGGCAACTAAAATTATCTAATGAATATGAGAAACAAAAAAAATCTTAGTTTATCAAATATATTTTCATACTTTAACTTTTAAAAATAAATAAATTAATTAAAATATTAATAAATATATTATTGTCTCACTTTAATAAACGGGGACAATAGGATGAATTATCAACAAAAAAATAAAAAATAAATAAATAAACCGGTGGTAAACGGGCGCCCCACCTTAAACGGGTAATGGGGCAAGGGCGGTGGAGGTTGCCCTCCTGTTGCTATCCCTAATCATAGATTGGGACTGCAAAAATAATCCAAGTAGTCAATTCTGGCTAAAATCATTTTCAGAAGAAAGGACGAGAAAGAAAGAAAGAAAGAAAGAGGAATGTGACTCTTGGGAGATTTTAATCAATGGTAATATATGAGAAATTTCCGTGTCCCTCTCTCTTTCTATGACAAGTGTTGAATATGTCAACAAAGGCATTGTACACTTCATTAATGATCGAGAAGACCAATGTGAAGGCAAATTTTGATGGACCACATGTTCTTCAAAAATTAGGGGAAAAAAAAGGAGGGGGGGGGGGGGGATAGACTAATATTGTATAGGATAAATCCCCTTGAACAGGCTCAGGGACAGGGCTGAAAAAATCAGATTGCTGTGGCAATTAATGATTGGAGGTGATTTTTTTTTATTTTTTTTATTTCAAAGTGTTCAATCCTGAATCGACACGTGTTGAGCCTTTTTTGAGTCTGTTTTTTAATATGTTCCTGCAGCATGGTTGTACCTTAAATTATGTTTTCAATGATTGTAGGACAAGCTACTTGTCCATTCCTAATTTAAATTTGGTTTTCTTCTTTTACTTATCATTCAATAAATATTCGATGAAGTGGCTTAACTTTTCAAAAAGAATTATTATCTTCTTGCATAGATAAATGAGCATTTAGCCATCCTTTAAGAATTGCACCGTATAGCAAGTTGAAAATGAAATTTACTAATAAATAACACTTCAAATGGTGAGAATGGATTCCAAGGAGTGGTAATGAAAAATTTGTTGAATTAGTTAATGTTAAAGATAATGTTATCAAAGATTCGTTTCGATCATTTTGAAGCATTTTTAATAGATCAAAGTCAATGAGTCGTGTTGAGTCCAAAATTTTTTGCATAAACCTAAGAGACGGGGGTTATGGACGGTCTCAAAATCAAGTTTGTGCAATAAGCACAATTCGATTTACATCTCTAAATCATTTTAAAAAGTAGAGTGCGCTCTTTATAGATGGTGTAGTGATTTTCAAAATATAACGAGGGATGGAATCTATCAATGTTTAGATTTTTTCAATAAAGGTGTGTGGATATGCTTCAATCCCCCAATTGTGTGGAGATTCTAATAACCCAAATCAATGTGTAAATACATAGTGCTACTAAAAATGAGAATCAAAATATACTATCCTAAGCCGTAAAGTTAACTTTGCCATATACGGCTCGCATCAAATGTCCTTTGAGAGTGCCAAGTGACTACTTCCAAGTACATACTCTCCACCAACACAAACCCATTTGACTTGGCCCACTTGAAGAATCTCCACTCCATATGATAGAAAATCTAATAGGAAAAGTTCAGGGACGAGGATATAGTCTAGCGCAAACTGTGACACCTCGTTTAAAAAAAAAAATCTAATAGGAAAATACATTTAAGGCCCCGTTTGGTAGCCATTTTTATCAAAATATATTTTTCTCTCTTCTTTTCAATCACACATTCTTTATTAAAATAATATTACACATAAATCAAAAAAATTTCCTTATTTCTCAACCATACATTTCACATCAATTTACTATTCTAAAATACATTTTTACATAAAAATTCCTATCAAACACCTCCTTAACAAGTAAAAACCAAAATTAGTACACGTTTAATCGACAATACTGAATATGATTAGAAGTATTTAGGGCTCTTGGACCGACCATATCCAAACCTTACTCGTACTTTTTGTTACGTATCTTCAGAAATGCAAAATATACTAACCTCTTTCGTAGCTTAGTACAAGTCGATTTGTGCGACTTAATTCTATATAGATATATAGGTTTGTTTGAGCTCCATTCTTTTGGAAAAAAAATAGATTTTGTAATAGTGATTTATTTTTGTTTTTTTGGGAAAAATATATGGTTAAAAAGTAAGAAAAAAATTTGGATTTATGTGTAAAATTATTTTATTAGGAGAATTTGTAATTAAAAATGAGAATAATATTATTTGCAGTCGCTCACTGTCTTTACGTGGCATGCATATAATGGTTAGTGATTGGATGCATTAATGTGATAGTTTTTTTTATTGTCTTATGTATCAAGTTACTAATCGTTACATGTATGTCATATAGGACGACCGCGATATTGAACAACTACAAATAGCAATAAATAAAGGATCAAACAAGGACATATTATAATGCATCAAATATGCTATTAGAATGAAGACTCGCTAGTTAATAAACTGGAATTTCCTAATTAGATGTACAAGTAAAACCTCTTATGTGATTAAGACAACTTATTATTTTAAAGTAGCTATTTATCTATTGATAATTGAATAATTTATTAATTTATAAATAACAAATATTTATTAATTTAAAGAGCATGTGATATATATATATAATGTGATTTTTTTACTGAAAAAGCATAAATATTTTTTTAACAAAAGTTAATATAGACTTACATACGATAAAAAACAATTGTCCATAATAAAAGTTTATAGGTACATATATACTTATATGTAGCTTCAAAATTCAATATCTTATAAGATGAAGTGTTTCAAAATATTTCAGGTACATAGAATATAGAAGAAAGGTGCTTATATACAGTTAATGTAACTTCAAATTTTTAATTTCTTAGAAAACAAATTTTTGAAGATATTTTAACAATATATGATAAAATAGTCATTTATTTTCCTTTTATACTTCAAATCATTGCAAATTCAATGAATTTTAAACATAATCAGTATATATTCACTGACTCGTAAAGGATTTCAAATAAAATTATTAATTTATACATTAAGCA